GGGGGGGCGAAATGGGTGTGGTGCGGGTTTATGTCGTTCTCTCTGGAATCAAGAAAGGCAAAATCGATGGGTGAGACCGGGTGAGAGAAAGGGTAGGAGTGTTCATCGAAGACCACATGATGGGAAATGATAATTTTATGGGTGAGAAGATCAAGACAACGGTAACCCCGTTGGTTAGACGGGTACCCAAGAAAGACATATCGGGCCAAACGAGGGGTGAGCTTGTGTGGAGCAGTAGCGGAAAGATTTGGATAGCAGAGGCACCCGAAGACCCGGAGGTGAGAGTATGTGGGTTTTGTACCATATAGGGCTTCATGAGGAGTGCGATTTTGAAGAGTGGTGGTGGGTAGAATATTGAAGAGATGGGAGGCCATATGCAACGCCTCAACCCAGAAGGTAGGTGGGAGTTGGGCTTGGAATAGGAGGGAGCGGACAGTATTATTTATGGTGCAAATGGTACGTTCAGCCCGTCCATTTTGCTGGCTAGTGTGTGGACAGGAGAAGCAAAAGAGAATAGCCAAAGAGTCGATGAAATTCCTTAGAGGTGTGTTTTGTATTCGGTACCATTATCACATTGTACAGCCTTAATAGTAGTGTTAAACTGATTTTTCACGAAGGCAATAAAAGTATGGAGATGTGAGTATGCTTTAGACTTACTTCTAAGAGGAAACACCCATAAAAAATGAGAATAACCATCTAAGAGCAACATGTAATGTTTAAAACCAGTAACACTAGTAACAGGCGATTGCCACAAATCGGTATGTAAAAGTTCGAAAGGAAAAGTAGAAATACGATTCGAGGACTCAAATGGGAGACGAACATGTTTTCCCAACTGACATGCATGACAAAGAGAGTGCTGGAACTGACTAAAAGAAATATCAGAGGAGAGACTGGAGATTCCACGGAGAACGGCAAGACTCGGGTGACCCAGACGACGATGCCAGAGCTCCGGACTTCCGGTGACAACATGGGCATGGGCGTGGGCAGGGGCTACATTTGGGCTCATGGGGTAGAGTGGGCCGGCATTATTAGACCGATGATTCACGGTTCCCGTCAACATATCCTTCACAGAAAAACCAGTGGAGTCAAATTCAATTGAACAGTTATTATCACGGGTGAATTGTCTAACAGAAATAAGGTTGTGGATTATGTGCGGGGAGACAAGGATGTTTTGTAAGGTTAGGGGAGGGGAAGTGGGGAAGTGGTAATTACCGGTTGCCGTAGTGCGTACTTTAGAACCATTACCTACAGTAATATGTGATGATGAATTTAAAGAATGAGTATGAACATGAGAAATAGTACCTGGGTCCGAGACGATGTGGTGTGTGGCGCCGGTGTCCATGTACCAGTTTGGATCACGGAGGGTGAGGGTGTCAAAATTGTGGGCTAGAGCGGTGGGTGTGGGGGGGTTGGCACCGGCTGTGTAGGCCGAGGGGGAGGGCAGAGGGGCCGGGTGGGGTGCGGCTGTCGGGTAAGGGTTGGGGTAAGGGCTGTTTTGGCCATAGGGTGAACCGGGTGAGGGGGGAGGTGGTGGGTAGGGGTATTGGGTGGAGAAATAGGCTTGGGGTTAGGGGTTGTGCGGGTGAGGGTTTGGATGAGGGCCAAGAAGACCCGGGTTGGTGTTTGGGTGGTTTAACTGTCCAGAATTCTACCCGAGGGTGTTTCATGCATTTGACCTGAAGCTTCGGCCGCGACCACGACCCCGATGTTGTCCACCATGCTGCCGCTGCTGTCCATAACCACCACCGCCGCTGGAATCAATGCGGCTGCCATTGGCGCTGCCCTGGCGCCGAGTTCCGCCACTGCTGACGCCTCCACTACCGGCATAGAGGGTTGTCCCGCCGTCTCCTGCCACACTACCGACCCCCAACTCAGCCCGTTGTTGTTCAATAAGAAGTACGGCCGACCGGGTTTGAAGAAAGGTCGGGGGCGGCGTTTGGTATTGAAGAAAAGAGGTTTGTGCCCGAAGATCGTCCGGGAGGCCACGAAGAACTTGTAGAACAAGTTGTTGCTCGGAGACGGGGGCGTCTACATCGTCCAACCAATCCGCGAGATTGCGTAGGGTTTGGCAATAAATGGCCATGGAGAGAGAACCCTTCGTTGTCGTCCGGAATTGGTGCTCAAGTTGTATAGCCCGGGCCGGTTTGTTGTCGTGAAACATATTGTAAATGGATTTACAAAGCTCCGAGGTTGAATTTGTGGTGGAGAGGACTAGATCGCAAACTTCATCGTTCACTGTAGATTGGATCCAACCTTGGATGAGTGCGTCAAGTTGGAACCACTCAGAGTCGTCGTCGCTTGAAGGAGAGGACTTGCCGGTGAGGAAATCTACCAAAGAGAACCGCCGGATGAGAAGGAGGAAAAGCCGGCTCCATTTTTTGTAGTTCGGCTCGGAAAAACTGAGGAGGATCGGTACATGGAGTTTCACGTTGGAGATGGTCGTGAACGCCAAGTGGGGAGTGGAGGAAGATGATTGGGCACCTGTGACGGGTGTTTTCTCGGACATGGTTGCCGTAGAGAGAGGAAGAAGCCTGCGTGAGGGAGGGAACTGTCGTGAATATTCCGAGGGGGGGAGAGCACTGCCGAGAGGGGGAGGGCCGCCTGGAATTGCTGGCGAGGAGCTGCTGGCGGTTTGGGGCTGCTGTATGGCGAGAGAGAGGAGGGGGCTGCTAGGATTTGCAGCGACGTTCGTTGGAACGTGAGAAAAGCTGTGATACCATGAAGAACTATTAATTTCTGTAATTAACAACGGAGGGCTAAGCCTCGTATAAATAGATACAGTAGAGTCCTAACTACAGAAGGTAACTATACAAGAAAACCTACCACGTGTACAAAGATTACTACATTAATATTAAATATATAGATACTATATTTAACACTTACGAAGTTTGTTTTGAGCAGATGGAACCTTAATCGGGAAGGGTGGGATGCACAAAATGTGTATTCGATGTAATCAACTACTTCATTTGCTATTATTAGTAACACCTTTGTTCATAAAAATGATAAAATCAATATTGTAGTTCTTGAGATGGCTAAGCTCCTTTCTGCACTACCAACTTGTTTATGATTTTAAGCTGCTTTGGAGCAACTTTATCCTCCTCCTCTTGTATAAAAAATAGTTAAAAAACCAGAAAAAAACATTTAAAAAAGGAAAAATTACCCAAAATAATACCAACTTTACTCGGTCTTTCAAAAATAATCCCACCTTTCACTCTGATGCATAATATCCCAACTTTACTGAAATTTACCAGTTTTGGGTTGCCCTTAAGTTTCTAACGGAGGGTTAACGGAAATGCCCATTTTAGGCAACAAAATGAAAGTTGAGATTATTTTTGATGAATTTAAATTTTTTTTTATTTTTTTTAAATTTTTCATTTAAATTTTTTAAATTACTTTCTACCTCCATCATCATTTCTTTTTCCTTTTTTAAAGATTAGTCTTAGTTTAAAAAATAAAAATAATAGATATAAAAAATGAAAAAATGAGAAATGTAACTAAAATGATACAAAAATAATAAAATAAATGAGGTAATCAATGAAAACTAACTTTAAATTGGTAAAAGTAAAATAAAAATATACGGGTGGGTTTTAATATTTTACGCATTATACAAAGTATTAACATATCACTTCTTATTATTTAGAAAAAAATTATATACAATAATTTCAACTTTACCGGACGACTTGTTCTTTTAAAAAATAAGTAGTACATTAAGACTCCGTATAGTGTGTAAAATGTTAAAACCCACCACTTCGTATATATTTATTTTATTTCTTACCCGTTTCTGTTTAATTTCTATTGATTACATTATTTATTTGATTAATTTTGTATGGTTTTAGTTATTTTTCTCATTTTCATTATTTTTTATATTTATTTTTTTTCTAAGGTAAGAATAATCTTTAAAAAAGTAAAAAAATGGAGGTTGAATGTAATTCAAAAAATTTAAATAAAAATTTCAAAAAAAATTAAAAAACAAAAATTAATTAAAAATAATCCAACTTTCATTTTGTTGCCTAAAACGGGAATTTCCGTTAACCCTCCGTTAGAAACTTAACGGCGACCCAAAATTGGCAAATTTTAATAAAGTTGGGATTATTATGCCTCACAGTGAAAGATAGAGTTATTTTTGAAAGACCAGATAAAGTTGAGATTATTTTGGGTAATTTTTCCTTTAAAAAATACTTATATTTGCTTTAGCATCTTCAGATGCTACATGACCGACCGATGCCCCCCCTACATAGTACTGCCTTCTTTTTGCCTTCTCAGTGTTCCGATTTTTCGACGTGGACCACTCTTTGCTGCAAATTCTGGAGAGGCCCAATTATGACGATTGGGGCCGAAGAGGCCCATCCGCTTGGACCAACTCACCAAATGGACAATGAAATGAATGGGCGAGGGGAGTACTAATTTCTACTAACCCATAACTAAAAATGGTCACAACCTTGGAGTGCCATTTGCAAAGCACTCCCCGAGATCATCATCTTAATTTCACCCTTAATCTGCTTACAGGAAATCCAAGCCAACCAATAGGAAGGCAAGAAACTCCATCACATGACCCC